AGACAGACTCTTTTTGTGAATGAGCATATCTTTTTGTACTCGAAGTAAAGAAAACATACATATGTTTGAGGACCAAAAATAAATCTTCAATTATAACACTTGCATTACAGCCGTGTTCAAGAAAAGTATTAATTCTGTGGGCTTGACAGGGTATATACTGTAACGATTGTCGTCTATCGACATCGTACATTATTCCTTAAGTAGGGCACACGTTATTAAAATGCTGAGTGTGAGGAATGGCAAGCGGGGCCGACTGCTGACCTAAGGCTTTTAGGCAGCAGTTTAAGGTATATAACAAGGACGAATACGTGTAGTGTAGGAGAGTGTGTGTGAGGAGTGTGTGTGCGACACCAGGAGCAGACAGACGACCAGAAGACTCCTCAACGATCCGTGCAGCCATTCACCATCCACACTCACGGCTTGTCAATCTACCCGGATCGGTAACCTTCATTCTATTATATAAATCTTAAATTATCTGTTAAATATACGTTACATTTTATACAATTGTGCTTTACTTAAATAAGGTAACCCTGATCTAGTATATTAATATTACACACCGAGGTCGAGTCCCCGAGACCTCGTTAATCAAAACATAACTTTATACGCAAGACACCCATGTGAAGAGGGGACGTTACAATTGGTGGAGGCGCCGGGCAGAAGTGCGTTTAGAAACACATCATATCCCTCATTGTCTCTCAACACGGCCCCTATACAGAGTGAGGGCCACATCTTCATCACCACATATATGTCTACAGGGTGACTGTGAGCGTAGGACACAGCGTGGCTCAAGCATAGCTCCACCTCGGCATACAACGAGCGACCTGGGTACTTTGTGTCAGTTAGGCATGCATAGAGTAAGGTGTCGAACCAAGCTGCTACCATATCGCGGACACCCGCTAGGTGAGCGTTTAGGGGACGTTACAATACAAAACAGTGTGACCTAGTAGTTTAGACAATTTTTGCTGTGTGCCATTTATTTTACCAGACATACTGCTGGCGAAGTCATACGTTTGAAAAGCAACATTTTTTGGTAGTAAATCATTGTTGACTATAACACTTTCAATAGTTTCTGTGATACCTAATTCAGTTTTGTCTGATGCTTCAATTATTTCCAGCAGCCTTTCTAATATTTCCCCAGACGTATTCACATACCTAACACAGACTGATAGTTGATCTCGATGTGAAATATCAGGTATGGTATCTCCCATCACCGAATATATATCTGCTTCTTTTACTTCTTGAATAATTTTTTTTTTACTTCATTACTTAACTCTTTCCGGCACAGGGGTCTGAATTTTTTTTATACCTATGCTGCACAGACACCGTTTTTTTTTTAGAAATTTATTGATTCGAGTATAAAAATCAAATATTATTTTGGTAAATAATACAAACTTGGTGAAAAAAAAAATTTAATGTTTTGATAAAAAAAGTTATTATAGGTGGGATGGCGTATGTCCCACCATGCAGCATGTGGTAGATTTTATTGGGTATAAATAAAATAAAAATAATATTACATTTTAAATTAATTGAATAGATGTATAATAATACGTTTATTTTATGCACATTATGTTAATACATTGTATTTACAAAAAAAAAAAATTAAAAAGTAGTTTAAATAAAAAATAACTGCATGTTATAATACAATATTAAAACAATTTTTTTTCCATTAAAATTTGTTTTTTATTTATATTACTATTGTGGTTTATGAATTGTTTGAACAAAATCTGAAATAGTAAAAATTAAAAAGTTAATACAATTAGTAAATATGTGTTTACTGTTTTACTAATAATCTTACCCTTCCTGTGTATTGTGGTAAAGTGCAAAGCAGTTTTTATTCTTTCCCAAACACAGCGGAACATTACACACACAGCACATCCATTCTGTACGAATCTCGTTTTTTTTTAGTGCTACATCTGGCACATCTTCTTCTTGTACTTCTCTGTGGTTGATGAGCAGCTTGTTCAAGACGAATTATATTTGGTACAGATGGTTTATTTTTTTTCAATTCTACTGGGCTTATTTTTGATTTATTTTGTGCTGCTCTTTTTTCCACCAATGTTTTAGAAACAAGACTTCTAGATATTTCTCGACGAAAATCTTTCATTGTAATATTTGTATTTGTTGTTTGTTTATAGATTACATGTGAATTAACAATAGCTGCGTCAATAAAATGAAAAAAATAATCTATGCCACCATTTACGTGCCTTTCTATTAATTTCACATGACTTTTTGTTTTGGTCAAATTTATCGACACAGTTCATGTGTTTGTTATACTCGCCTAAAACTTTTGGACATGAAACCATAGTTACTGAACCATCCTTTGATCTCCTTTGTACCGCTGTAGCATCTTCAGGGTTGTGAAAGTTTGATAAAAGGCTAACAATTCTTTTATCACGCCATTTAACAATTGAAATGTCACCTTGATCAACAAACCAATCATACTCTCCAAGTTTTAAATCTTTATCTTTTTTAAAATTAGGCAAATATTTTCTTGTTAAATTAACAGTTCCACATGCATGGATATTTTTTGACTTGAGATATGTCATGAGCGGATAACTAGTGAAGTAATTGTCAAAAAATAATAAATGATTTTTATTTTGGAGTGGTTGTGACAAATGCTTAACCACGCGGGCTCCTAATTGACTTTCAACTCTATCACCAACTTTCCCAGTGTAAATTTCAAAATTCCACAAATACCCATGTTTGTCCACTAAGCACCAAATTTTGAAACCTCTTTTGATGGGTTTTTTTGGCATATATTGTTTATTTGAGTTCCTTCCTGTAAACTTTACCATACTCTCGTCTATAGAAACAATTTGATGTGGATTGTATGTTTTTTGGAAATTAGATAAAAGAATACTTATAAATGGTCTTAGTTTGTATAACTTATCGTAATTATCTGTATTTTTTTTTTGGCATTACTGTATTGTCATTTAAATGTATATGTGCTAGTAGCCAACCAAAACGGTTGACGGTCATAAGACTACTAATGTACGAGTCGTGCAAATCTGGCGAAGATGACCAATAGTCCCTATAACTACACTGTTTTTTTATTCCCATTAAAAGATTTATTCCGATAAAAGTTTTTATTTCTGATAAATTTGTTCGTGTAAATGATTTTCCGGTTTTAGTTTGTTTTTGTTGGGCATATAGATTTGTTTGAAAAACAATTAAATTCATAATCTCATCGTTAAATAGTATATTAAAAATACTGATTGGTGTACAAAAAGGGAGATTTTCTATAGTACTTGTGACGCCTTCTAAACTGGTAAATAAAGGACTTGAATACATATTATTATTATTTTTTGACCAAATTGGTGGTATGAATGGAATATTGATTTCATTGTGGTTTTGTTGTACATTTATTGGAGGTTGAGAACTTTCATGATCTGATTGACTTGAAGAAGGGGTAGCTAGTGGCTGAATTCCTGACATATCACCTTCTTCAAAATTAAAATTAGAAAAAAGTTGACGACGACCAACTGGTACTTTGTTTGGATTTTCTACATCTCTGTTAATAATTTTTCTTTTTGTTGATAATCGAGTTTTTTTTAATGGTGAGGGAAGTAAATAAATATTATTATTATCTAAATTCAAAATTTCCGAGTCTTCATATTCCGTATCTGAAGAAGATTCGGAAATTACGACTTCACGTGAAGGCAAACAGTAATCCTCGTCATTATCAGATTCGTCACATGAAGTTTCACTGTTGTCATCGGACGGAATTTCTTCGCATAGTATTTGATAAATATTATTTTCATCTAAGTTTTTATTCATTTTGAATAATAAATTTATTGTAAAAATACGGTAGATATTGTTTTGTATTTTAATACAAATAATAAAATAAAATAAAATGTGTAAATAATTGAACTCGCTGAATGAATAAAATAAACGTAATAAATTTAACGTAATATATGAATACGGAGATTTACTCACTTGCTGCACGGTGGGTTAAAATCTGGACTCTTACATTATACGTCATTCCAGACTAACCGCTATCAGTAAAATGGTTTTGTCTGCATTGAATGCCAGTATATAACAGTGTCTAACATATTATGAAACAATATTATTTATATAAATAACTCAAATACGAAAATTGTAAAAACAAATAATAATAATTGGCTGGTCATCGAAAAAAAAAAAAAAAATCGGGGAAATAGTCATAAATAACACAAAATTAATTAATATCCGTTTCAATTTTAGAAAATAACATTTAAAATAGACTAACAAAACTATTTATAATACGTATAAGTGAAAAATTATTTTGAAATATCGAAAACAATTATTATAAAAGGTGGGTTATTTTTCGTACCACCGTGACGGAAATGTAATTTTATAGGTGGGACATATGGTATCCCACCGTGCCGGAAAGAGTTAACACGTTGACTGCGACATGGGTTGAGCTGAGTGAACCCCCCGTGCGGAAAATTTTTTTTCGTCGAAAAGTTTCCTTTTATTTTACTTTAATTATCTCAGTGCCTAAATTTACCAATGTTTTGGTTTTCTACTAAAAAAAAACAACTTTCGATGCGAAGTCGACGTCAGCATCATAGAATAGAATTTTTCTCGGATGCGGGTGTCGACAATGTTTGGATTGTTATTGCTGCGTCTATACGCCATTATAATAGCATGTCGATGAAAATTATATTCGGTTAGAATGTGTTACATAATTTATATTTATTATATGTAGAACAACTAAATATAAGTAAATGGTAATAGAAACGCTTCATATAAATAAAAATAATTATAAATAATAAATAAAACCTTTAAAAATTGTAAATACAATAATAAATAAATAACTAGGTAGTACTTATTCATGATATATTTTAAAACAAGAATCTAAGTACAATCTTAGCTGATCTGGGCATTCGTAGCAACAGTATGTTGTTTCCACTTTTTTTTTTGTTTTTTACACAAATGACACATCTTTTCCTAATTGGCCTATTTTTTATGTTTCTCGGAACTGAAGAAATTACACGCATTCCCTGTTTGTTTGATTTTTATGTTGGAGTTACAATTTTTGGCCTATGTTTATAAATGAGTTTATTGATCACAGAATCTTTGAAGTCTATTAATCTGATATTGCATTTTCCAGGCTGCTGCTTATATAGTATGAACGCATTATTCATAATTACATGTAACGCGATCTTAGCATACCACCTTAGTGTTTTCCTTTCACAAGGATAGTAGCTTATTAGTTGGTTACTACGATCCACACCACCCATAAATTCATTGTACTTTAGTATAGACTCCGGCTTTTCTGATACTTTGCCACTTCTTGCCCGATATTCATTCATAGCATCCACAAACTCTGACGATATAATGATAACATCCCGTTTATCATGCCATTTCATAACACAAATCCCCTTACTATTATATGCAGATGTCAACTCTCCTTTTTAAATTTTTTATTGACGACATCTGACGGGTTACCTTTTCTATTCCCTCGAAAAGTACCTGTTACATATGTATTTTTGTCTAATAAATACTCGGTAAGATCAACGGAATTATAAACGTTAGCCATATAGACGGAATGTCCACTCCACAGTAATCGTCAAGCAAGTATTTTACCACTTTATCAACATGTCCCTTACCACCCACAATCGGATCACTTGATCTACAATAAATCCTTATCTTTAGTACAAGATCATCCGGTTGACAATTTTATACCAAATTTGTGTTTTTTATTTTGGATATATTGGCGGAAATAGAGACGTCCACGCTAAAGAAGCATAGATTCATCTAAACTCATCTCTTTAGTAGGATAATATACTTGTTTCATTCGGTTATGAAATAGATCGAACAATGGCGTGATATTATATATGAGGTCTCAGGATTCGGGTCTCCATTTGGCGGATTTTCAGCAAAGTTTAAACATTTTAGAATTAATAGAAATTTATCTCTACTCATAGCATTTCTAAAGACATTAAAATTATACAAATCATTTGTTTGCCAATAATGAGGGATGGTCGGAGCAGATATATGTCCGGTTAGAAATATCAATCCCAAAAAAAACTTCCATGTCTTCCCTTGTTATATTTTTCCAATTTTTTATGCGTGATTTTGGTCTTGTATTTTAACTACTTAAAATTTGATCTAGTCGATTTATTTCTGTAACTATCAGATTAAAAATATCATCCGTGAATAGGTGTAAAAATTCTACATTTATTAAGGGGGTCCCAGTTTTTTTGCCTTTATAATGTTGCCCTTTTGGTTACAATGTTCAACCCCAGCATTCAATAGTTGCTTACTTTTAACATCATTCCATTCTTTTCTATTTGTTTTACGTTTTCTTTTTGGAGATTTTTCTATGCCTGTTTTCGTGTTCTCTTTTTACAATGACAGCATTCTCAACCTGAATAGAAACATCAGTATTTGATGAGATTTCTTTAGAACTTGAGCCGAAACGAAAGCAGCGGTTACATTGGACGGGGGACCGGATGCTAGGCTTGACTTCGAAAATCATGTTGGAAACAGAGATGACCGATGGGATTTTTGGAGCAACAAATTTTAGCTCCACAATACGAGTCTGAGCGATATTTCCATCTTTTTTGATGTTGATGCGCTTGAATGCATCAATAGTAACAGGAGACTTGACACGCTCAAAAAACTCAGATTCTGAGATAGTGTTATTTAATTTAATTATCCCATACGAAAAAAATAAACGTAGAAGGTATACAAGCTTTGTAATTATTTTCTTTTAAAATATTAGAATTTAAATAGAGGTTACCATTGGTAATTGTATGAAACGTGATCTTAATTTTTTTGAGCCCACGGGCTTAATGTTAATAATGCCCGTAAAATTCATAGAGAAGAATTTAGCGGCTCTGATAGGATGCCAGTTTCCTAGATTTGTATTTTCAATGAGACTCTCAATTAAAACAATTACTGGCCCAGAATAGTCAGTTGAAAAAGATTATTGTAGAGTATTGACGTACATTTTATTATTAGAGATATTAACATGTTTTGTTGAGGAGAGGCCCGCAACGGTGTTATATGTTGGAAACGAGGAATCGATATCGAGCTCATTAGTGAGGTCGTTAGCGTTATCGTTTATGTCCATGACCGTAGACTCAGACGATTTATCGGTTGGTAGTGAGATATTATTGTAATCGAAGGCCGAGCTAGATATTTTAGATACGTCTAAAGATGGAGGATTGTTGACAATTTGTTGAAAACTTGGTGAGATGGGGCTGGACAGATCTTTAAGTGGCTTACCGTTTTTACCGGCTAACTGAAATCCAGAACTTGTGGCGGAATTTTTGGCAACCATGGACTTGAATTTATTTGCGGCTTGATTCAGGCCGGAGCGATTTACGCCGCCCGAAGACGACGGTATAATGGAATACTAAAATGACTGGTGTATCGATATAGCAATAACTAATTAACATTATCAGCAAAATATGAGACACACGACTGTACACGTTGACTACGTGAGCACGACTGGTATTAATATTGTATAATTGTTTTTTTTTTTTTTGATATTACACACTTGAACGATAAAAAAAAAAAAATTACAGTTATTAAATCATAAAGCTACATAACCAACAAAAATTTCAAATTAAGTAAAAAATATACTTTATTGGACAACATTTTTATATAACATTGTCTGATACTAGAAAACTAGTATATATTTCTTAAATTAACTCCTTTCATCTTTAATGCGTTTGATTTCTTTTTTTGCTTATAAAGATAAAACAGTACATATTAACATACGAAAAATATAACACAACAGCTCGTAATAACAATAATTATAATTTTTAACTTAAAAGTGTTTATATTTCTTACGAATCATATCAGTTAATCGTAACTAAAAGATAAACAGGTATGAAGATGTTATTATAATAAACTAATAATTTTGTTATTAATCATATTGAATAATATTTATAAGTAGCATAGTATTTTTGTGTCAAAGAGCCAATGTTACCCTGTTTAAATAAAAATGTATAAAATAACAGGTTGAAATTTCCAATTAAATATTATGTTTTTTTTTTTTGATATACTATTGTTTATGAATAGTTAAAAATGTTTAAAGGAATTAAACAAGGTACTATATTAAAGATTAATATCCTGATCAATAATAACAAAAATTTATTATGAAAACATTTTTTAATAAATCTTTTAAGTCGGAGTTTTTAGATAGTAATTCATAAAATCTTTTTGTTATAACCAAGGTTTGAAAATGTCATTAAAGGTTCCTTAAACGTTTTGTGATCTATTACAATAAAAAATGTCTACTGAAAATTTAAACTAATTTTTTTCTCTAAATATTTAAACTATAATTTTTTTATACAAGGTATTATAATTTAAAAAATACTTTGATACTTTGAGTTTTATTTAAAAGTTTAACACGTTCACTGCGGATCATATTACAATACACATTCAAATGTGCGGGAGCAATTGAAGGTTTTTTTTTCGTTGACGCCAATTGGCGTCATCCGTACCATATACACTTTGTTTTTATCTGATGCTGATTGACGCCAATTGGCGTCATGGCAAATTTGTTATGCAAAATACCAAAAAGTTACTCACAACTATAAAACCAAATTGTTGCTTTATTACTTATTATTTTACAATGCTATTAAATTAATAAATAACTAAAAGTAAACATGTACTCCTAATTTAATAAAATGAGAACATCGTTATTTCTTATTATTTTAAAATTAAATTAAATAGATATATAAATAAAGGTGAACATGTCATTATAATTATTGAAAAAAAAATGAAAAACTCAGACTATTTATGGTAGTTTTTGAAACAAGGTTGATGACATAGACTGGGCTTTTCCGGACAGCTTGGACAGAAGTATGTTGTATCTTTTCTTATTCCTTTGGAATAGCATAGATTACATCTTTTTCTATTAGGTCTTCCAGATTTTCCAACATCGTGGGTTTTTGGGAAATGATTTGTATGTGATAATGAAAAAGATCTAGGCTTTGGGTGTTTAGGTAAAAGTTCACCAAGTATAGATAACCGAAAATCATACAATGATAGTTTAGGTCCAGCGTGATATTGATTATATAAATAAAACGAGTTCATCAATAACATTTGTATTATATGTATACCAATTTTTTTATACCAACGGATTGTATTCCTAGTAAATGAATAATAGCTATGCATTTGGTCTTGCCGATCAACTCCACTCATAAAACGGTTATAATTTGAGATAGGTTCAGGTTTAAATTGTTCTTTACCGTTTCGGTTTTTGGTAAGAATTAAATTATTTTTAAATTCAGTGGAAATATAACCAACATCTCTCTTATCTCTCCACTTTTCAATCATAACTCTTTGAGAGTACCTGGCAACGGTTTCACCTTTTTTTAATTTTGACTTAACAACATCCTGTGGTGTATTTTTTCTGTTCAATCTTAACGTACCAGTGCAAAACGTTTTTTTTTCAATTAATTTGGAGGCTAAATCAAAACTATTGTAGAAATTGTCCATGTATAATGTATGGCCGTTATTTAACTTTTCGGACATTAAATGCAAAACCACATTAGCTGCATGGCCTTTTCATCCCAAGTCATCGAGTACTCCTACATAAACGGCAAATTTTAATATCAATCCATGAGGTTCCGTGAGCATGTATAATTTAATTCCATATTTATGGCGCTTGTTTTGAATATACTGACGAAACTGAAGACGGTCTCTCCATAACACCATAGACTCATCAAGTGAGAGTTCTTTTTTGGGATAATAGATGGTATTCATTTTGTTATTGAAACATGTAATTAAAGGTCTAATTTTATATAAGCGATCTTCGGGTAGGTTTTGATTATTAGTTTCAATATTTGGTGCAAAATGAAAACATCTCAATAAATTTAAAAATCTATCACGACTCATATAATTTGAAAAGCAAGAAAGACTGAAAAGGTGATGTGTTTTCCAATAGTAATTTAATCTGTTGACTTTTATAGTACCAGTGTGAATTATCAGTGCAATAAATGTTAACATTTCGTCTTTATCTGTCGGTTTCCAATCGGAAATACGAGAACGTGGTGCACTACCAACACGTAAAAACTCGGTTTCAGCATAATTATTCGTTTCATCAACCAATAGTTTTATAAAATGTTCATCAAAAAGCATAAAAAATAATCTATAGGATTTTGTTTGCCTTCTATCGAAATCAACAATTCGTTTTTTTTTTTTATAAAAGGAAAATTAGACAATTCAATTTCCTCCTCTTGCCAACTACCATCATTATTAATATTAATTGTTGATGATTGAGTATTTTCACTTGGTACATTATTTGCGATCTCATTATCACTCTCAAAATCGTCAGACACTTGTTCTATATTTTCAAATTCATATTCGCTACCAGAATCGGAAAAATCATAATTTTCGTCCTAATCAGAGTTAAATAGCATCTGCTCAATTTGTTGTTCATAATTTTGATTTATACGGCAAAACCGTTTTGGTCGAGATGGACCTGGTTCATTCAATGTATAATCCATGTTCATATAAGTAATACGAAAGTAAACGAAATAAATTAAAAAAAATCGTTGTAAAGAAATAAAATGGATACAATTTAACACTAAAATGTATAAAAACGATACAATGTGAATACGTACGTGTTTCATCAACGACCGACGATGGAAAAAAGATTGCCACAATAATGAATTTCTTGAAAATACCGATGATTAACTTGATAAAGGAGTGGTAAAAATCCCATAATAAATTAAAAATAAAATGAACTAAAAATAGAAATTTTGTTGTGCGATTGCACACACGTATTAACTAATATGTATAGATAACGCTGACCAAAACTGAGATTTTTGACCGTAACGCTGACTAAATTATAGTGTATTAAAAAATAGTGTGCAGATGACGCCATTTGGCGTCAACCGCATATGTGAACCATGCTAAATGACGCCAATTGGCGTCATCCGCAGTGAACGTGTTAAGAAACTTTTTTGATTAATTTTAGTTTTTTTTCTATAAATTTTATAAAAAATTATTTGATGAATTAAAAATCTTGAAAATTAATACAAGGTCCTACATAATTTGTTCTCATATCCATATCAAATTATTCAAATTACATACGCACAAATTTGTTTTACATCAATTTTTTTTTTTTTTTTTATTGGGTAAAAAGACAATCTATATTCTATACAACAATATGCACATTAATTAGATGAGATAAAAGAATACAAAAAAGAAGAAAAAAAATAAAAATAAAAATAATGACAGTGAATATTTTGATTTTTTTTTTAACCTTCGTTGAGGGTAATCGGGTAGAGTTTTTGATGATAATTTAGTAATTAATGGATTTGTATGTGACTGGAGTTTATTGTGGAATCTAACATAATATATTTTAGCGGTTTGATTTAAGGTTTGCATTTTAAGATCTTTATGAAGATTGTTGTTCGTTATGTACTATGGTGCAGAGGAGAGTAGGCGGAGGCAGATGGATTGAAAGGATTGTATTTTTTTGGTGTTGGAGGGTTTTGCAGTTCCCCATAGCTGAATACTATATGTCCGTAATGGTTCTAGTAAGGATTTGTAAATTAATAATTTATTATTTATATTCATTTTAGATCGCAGGAGAGGCCTTAGTATATGAGGGTTTTACGTTTGTTTTTAATTTGGGAGTGCCAAGTTAGTTTACTATCTAATATAATTCCTAAATATTTTACTTCGAACAAACAGGGACTTGAATATTGTTCATTATGACTTGTGGGCATGTTTCTCTTTTTAACGAAAATGTAATGAATGAGGACTTAGATTCATTAATTTTAATTTTCCACCGCTTTGTCCAAAGATGGATTATATTTAGGTGTATTTGTATCATTTTGGAAGCTGTAGCAGGATTTTCATGAGAAGTTACGATTGCAGTGTCATATAAGAGTTCGGTAAATGGTGTTTTTTGGTATGTCATATGAGTAAAAATGTTCTAAAAGAAGGGAGCGATGTCGCTGCCTTGGGGAACTCCAGCTAGAATATTAAAATAGTTCGAGCGGCTCGAATTCTGACGAACAACGAAGGTTCGGTCGCTCAAATAGAATTTAATTAGTAGAAAGTAGCTGGAAGAAAACTTTTTAGTTTAAATAAGAGACCATCATGCCATACCCTTTCAAACGCTTAAGATACCTCCAGAAAAATGGCTGCACAATATTGTTTTTTTTTTCTAAAAACGAAGAAATGGTATCATTTATATGATACAATTGGTGAATGGTGGAATGGTTTGGTTTGAAGCCAAATTGCGTATCTGAAATAATTTTTGCTTCGGTAGCCAATGGGAGAAACCTTTTTAATAGGATCTTTTCGAACACTTTGGATAAAGTTGAGAGTAGGCTGATAGGGCGGTAAGAGGTTGTTAATTCGGGAGGTTTATTTGGTTTAGGGATGAGAATTATTTCAAAGAAATTTCAGGTTAGTGGGTAGTATGATAGGCGGAACATTGCATTGTAAATGTAAAATAGTAAAATAATTACTTTTTTTTGGTAGTTTTTTGGCAGTTAGATTTGTAACCTGATCATAACCCGGAGCTTTTTTATTGTGGAGTTTTTTTATTATAAAGTCGATTTCACCGGGATTAGTATTTCGCTGGAAGCGAAACGGGTAGAGCAGCGTTCGAGGAATGATTGATTATTAGATTTTGGTTGTTATTTAAAATTATATCATGTGGTGTAAATATTTTTGATAAGTATTCGCCGAATATATTTGCTTTATCTATATCAGAAATAAACCACGAGTTGTCTTCATTACGCAGAGGAGAAGGAGTTGGTTTAGTTTTTAAAATTTTTTTTGTTGCTCTCCAGATGGATGTGTTATATGATGTCAGGTTTTGGATATATTTATTGTAGGTGGAAGAGCTTTACTCAATTTGTTTTTTAGTTGATTAAAAAGAATTTTGTCGGGTAGGTACTTGAGGTTTTGTCATCGAGATCTAGCTTTGCCCTTTTCGAGTATGAGGTATTTGATATGGTTTGGTAGAGGGTAATTTGTATTGTGTGTTGAGCTGTGAGTTGTTGCTAATTGTAAGCATTCGTGTATATCAATTGTGAGCTTAAAGGGTGAGTAATAATATTCTTTTATTACGTGCATATATACAAAGTATATATATATACGCTTCTCGGCGGCGGCGGCGCTAACGGATGTTTTCAAAGAAAAAAATGTCCGGCAACAAGAAACCGGGAGTTAGCTCCCTCCCTCCACTCTCTTACGTACATGTTGCGGGGACCAGCAACAATTACGCACTAGAGGACTATGCTGTGACCCAGAGACTTCTCTCTTAACCAGGGCATGGTTCGCCTCAAGAGATGCATTGATTCAAACAACGTAGCTACATAGGAGCATCCAGGTGTTAAATCTTCGGAGGCTGCTGATGCCCCTGTCGAGTACAGCCCTGAAAGGTCACCGTTAACTGTGGGTATAACCTGATTGGCCTCACTTGCTAGACGTGATATTTTCTTGAGTGCGCAAGATACTTGTGCTCCCTCGTAGTGGTACTTCCGGGAATACTCAAACAGCTTCGCAGCCTGCCAAGTTTCTAAAGGCTTGATGGGTATACCTGCATCATTTGCATATCGTGTCAACACGTTGACAAAGTTGTCAACATATCCTCTTTCGTCTTGTTCCTCACGGGCCAAGGTGTCAGCGGGAGGTATCTTGAGCAGGACTACTTGATTGTCTCCTTGGCCCAGTAGGGAGGTAGTTGTCCCACATGTTTCAGCAGCTAGTGATATCAGCATAATTGTGATCAGAGTCCAGCCTTTTTGACGGAGTCCCTCCTGCCACGCCTCAGGTCCGTACACACATCTCTTTCCAGGGACCGGGTCACCATTGAGAGCCTGCTGAGGGGGTCCGAACCTGTCTTGGAACATTAAAATGGATGCGAGGTGAAACCAATGTGTGTACTGATACACCTGGTCAAATCCGAACAAGTCATCGAGGTCCCGAAACACTGCCTGAGAGAACTCCCATCTAAAGTTGGTACACCAGGAGGATAAGTCAATTACCACAAACTTGTAACGGGATTTGGTGGGATCAGTGTGAGGTGATGTCATCCTCGTTATTGTACGGAGAAGCTGCTCTTCCCCCATTGTCATAGATTGCTCCTTGATGTAGTGAAACACAACTTCTGCGATGTTCCCTTCTGTGGAGATCTGATACAGCCTCATCTCCGGCGTCATCTTAGCATAAAACCGGGCGTTGGTTCTCTTGTGTTCTCGTTCCTTGGCTACTGCTATGATCACCTTCCAATCAGTGGGAACTTGACCTGTATTCACTGTTTGAATGATGCTCGACACATCCACCTCTTCTTTGCTTAGGTAGGAGATGATCACACTTTTGCTGGCGAACTCAGGTCTCGTCATGAATTTACCATAAAGCGTGCGGTGTGCTTGATTGTCGTACTCGTAGACCCAGTGTCTTCGTGATGGGATGATTGAACGGTCAGACAGCAGATCCGAGGGA